CAGGTGTGCTGTTTATCAGTATAGAGTAGAATTTATTGACCAAAGTACTTATAGTAGGGTCCATTAACCATAAACATGTATATAACATATATAATTACAGATAAACATGATAAAGAAATAGACAGAATACAACATATGATGAAGAGCAATATTCTTCCATTAAGTATACATGTATATATATTGGTGGCATTTTTAACAGGTCCAGTCTAAAGACTATTTCTACCTATGTAGCTATTAATAGCTACGTAGGTATTTAAACCTACCCAAAGTAGCTATTTTTACCTACTTTTAGCATTATCTGCATTTTGTGGTGAAAAGACTAAACGGCGCAACATGGCGAACACCATATTTTTTGATACAGTCACACTGATAATGAATACAACAAAATTTTGGTCAAAAAACGATTACTTACTGAATTGGCAATTTTACATTAGTTCCTAGGCAAAATTTATAATATACGAAGTAATCATTTTTTTGCCAAATTTTTGTTATATCCATCATTAGTGTGACTGTGTCAAGAAATTTGGAGCTCACCATTTTGTGCCGTTCTTGCGTTTGGCCACAAAATGCAAGTAATGCGCAGAAAGTAGGTAAAAATAGCTACTTTGGGTAGGTTTAAATACCTATGTAGCTATTAATAGCTACGTAGGTAGAAATAGTCTTTGGACTGGACCTGTTTAAGTTTCATATGTTGTGCAAAACATGTGAATTTAGATTTTATTATTATTAAATATACACATATAATTGAACATGTGGATGTTTCTAGAATCTTACAACTCTTTAAGTCCTGTTTTGACCAAGACACATTCAATATTTATTTGTTGTAGAACACTGATAGCCCAATTATTGAACTGTTGAACTGCCAACCTCGTGCCATGCTTGCTACATCCGAAAAAACTCAGTCTACTGTATAGAAAATTTCCGAGTAAATTCAAAATCAGCAACATCGCAACGTCAAAAAGACAGTTGTTCTTTATTCTGCACAATACCTTCACATGAGAGAAAAAAATGGATAATGATATCGATGAAATCTGATGAAATAGAACTACATACCTTATTTTTCGTCTGTTGTTTACAATTTTCCCGCAATTTCCCCTAAATATTGAAGAGTTCTAGATCAATCGGAACACCTCTGTCTTTTTTACTTTCAAGACAGACAGAGTTGTTCCGCTTTGCACGATGTGACTCGGTTGCATTTACCGGTTGATCATCGAGATGATGTCCAATTAAAAGGACTTATCCTCACAAAAGAATTTACTTAGAAGCATGAGTAGGAGTCCTACCCGAGAAATTTTTTGTTTTGTCAATTACTCTAAATTTGTGCATTATCAAATAATTCAGCTATGTATTTTTTTTAATGTTTTTTTTTCAAAACAGACTGGCAGGAATAAAAAAAAATAAATATACGTCTGGACATTTTTATTTCATGTACCGGTAAGCATGGTAAGTCTGATGTAATCATAAGCACCTAATTTTGAAAGGGGTTTAACTTTATACACCTTTTCTGAACCTATCTTTTACAGTTAAAAGTAAATGCCACAATAATTTCACGGACACCTGCCGTTATTTATTTTTTCTTTTAATATAAAAAAAATACACCCCTACCTAATTAATATATTATTAGGTAGGGGTGTATACATTTTTCATTAAAAGAAAAATAAGTAACGTCAGGTGCCTGTGAATTTAAAGTGATCATTTAAAGCCTGAACCTTCTTATTTTTCCCATTACAATATATAGTCCAAAATTCCACATATTGATATATTTTTAAAAAATCATGTAAATAGTATAACCCTCCACCTCTCCACATGATTTGGGGGGTGGGGTATTAATATGAGAAATATTTCAAAGTTAAAGGGGGATAAATCCATCCAGGGACCTAAATACAAACGGGAGCCTGCTGTTAGACTTGCATGGTGATAACTCAACAATTAAGTTTAATTAGATGACCAAAAAAATTTAATTAAATGTTAAGCATAAATTTTATTTGAGAGTACATCATGCATACATAACAATGAGAAAGGACATCTTTTTTATGCCCCGTGATTGAAAGATTCTGGTGGTATCTTGTTTTTGTCCTGTTTGTCTGTCAGTGTTACCTAGCCCATATAACTATTGCCCTGGCAAGGTTAATTAGGCTTTTATATTTGACATGAGTGTTCATTATGACAAGACCTTTCCATCGGTATAGAAATTTTTTATCATGTGACTTCACTGTGAGCTTTGACCTACATTTGAAAAACTTCAAAATTGTGTTAAATTTCCATCTGGGGCATAGTGTTTCACAAACACAATCTTGTTTGTTGTTTTTTAAGTTAAATAGTCATGCTTATCAGGAAAAACTAGTGTATTTAGTTGCACATTGAGCATATCATGAAAATATACAAAGCATAGTCTATACAGCATTATAATTTAATTAAAAATGTATTCAGTTCCATTTGATGTTAATTGTGGTGGTGAGAATATAGTTGCAAGTTACTGCAAGGAACACATGAAATATGGATTCAAGCTTCAAAATTCATTAAAACAATACAAATGAGGAGCAGAGCATATATCCATAAAGGTCAGATGCATGAATTTATTTGTTAATGGAATCAGCACCATCCATTGAATTCTTTGAGTTTAGCTAGTTCATAGTGTGTCCATGCAATATTTTATTAATAATAACATACTCAGAACAGTCTATTGAATTCTGTGAGTTTAGCTATTTAGTGTTTCCATCACTTTGTTAATTAATAGCCATGTACTCAGCACAGTCCATTGAATTCTGTGAGTTTAGTGTGTCCATCACTTTGTAGACAACAATATACTCAGCACAGTCCATTAGATTCCTTGCATTAAGCTGCTCAGTGTGTCCATGACTTTGTTAATAACCACAAATTAAATATTGTTATTGTACATTGTTTTTGTGAGATCATCTATTTAATGTGTCCAATCTCTTTGTTAACAATAATGTATGCTGAGCACTGTCCATTTGATTCTCTGAGTTTATCAAAATAAATGTGTCCATCACTTTGTGATAACAATGTACTTGGTATATATGGTCCATTGAATTCTGTGAGTTAAGCCTTTAATGTGTTTGATCACTTTGTTAATAACTGAACTCATCAGCATGTGACTGTCCATTGAACTCTGTCAGTTTAGCTATCTATTGTGTCCAATCTGAAGAAAAAGGGTGAAAAAAGTTCCTCCGAGTTTTGACTTTTTAGTTCATTCAGACTACATCAGGCTGCATCCAAACATTACTCTGCACTACTGTTGAAGCATATTTGTCTACAGACAATATGTTGATGGCAGTCTATCTGTAAAGAAACAAATCAGGAGGGATTAACAAAAATATTAATAAAGAGCTCGGTTCACTTTATGCATAATATGGCCCTGTACTTATATCAGTCAATTAAAAACTATCACCCTCTTTCCCATTTCAGATATCAAAATAAAGTAAACACTTGGTGCTTTCATTTCCTGTATTAAAATTTCTTTTTTAAAAATAATTATATTGGAAAACAAGCTTTGAGAAATTGCCACGTTCTTGAAATTTTTGCAGAAAATATGTTTATTTGACTACCTTCAGCAAATAATTAAAATATAAGCACAGCCCACTATAAAAAAATAAAACATGTTTATTGATCTTCAGAAACAAATCTTTCAAAGTGTATTAGCATATTATTTTAAATCAGAGGTTGTGCTCTATATGAATAAGGCCCAAAGTGGCTCTAATGCTCTTTTAATAAATGAAAGAGCTAACATATTTTCACACAGTAGAATGGAGTTTATAAAGCTTGTATCTTAGGCCACTTTTAAAAAATTGTTGGTTCCCCTCTCCTGATTGGTCTGAAAATTTTTTTTATTCTATTTTCCAGAGTACAAAAAAATTAATATGCTTCTTGAAGGTTAAAAAAGTTTTGAGTTGGGCTATTTTTACATGTAGCCAGTCGGTCGGGAGAGGGCAACCAAAACAATTTTTCAAAGATGGCATTACCTTTATGTTCAGGTTCTAGTTGATTTCTTTGGAGTCTTTCTGAATCATGGCAAGCTGCTTTTGGAAACAGGATCAATGCCAGCATAAACCCCTACCTATTAACAAAAAAGACACTATAGGAATCCCCAGAAATCAGAGTCATAAAATCTATTCTAATTCACATAATGAAAGGCCTAGAGCTTGACAACTTTCTTACCATCAATTTACAGTAAAGAGTAGTTAGTCCTTACTCTCCGAGGTCTTGTTGACAAGTTGAGGTCAGTCTCATCTGCCTGTAATCAAAGAAAATCCAAAGATCATTAAAAATGATCGAGAAGACCTTGTGCCAAAATGTTCACCTTGACCTTGGTATCAGAAGAAAAAAATCTTAATTCAAATTTTCACCACCCCTAGCCTCAAGGGATCACAATAAACATAATTTGAATCAATGCATCTTTGAGATGCTTCAGTTTTATTGCCAGTAACATGGACCCATGATTTGAACAAACTTGAATTGCAAGTACAGGGAAAAATTTGAAAATTGCCGAAAGAATCATTTTACTTACTCCTTAATCAGATAGTAGCTGCAGGACAAAGCTTGGCAATGGACTCTTCTTTTACTCTTCTTGGTCAGCACTGGTTTCTTCCTCTTCCTTTGTCAAAGTCCTTCGAAATACATGATTGAGAGAAGATAAACAATAAATCAATGCAATGTAAAAATCACAAAATTTCAAGTGAATATTAAAAACAATATTAGCTGTAAAATAGATAAAAAGAAAGGCAAGGTTGGGATAAGAATTACTGGGGAAAAAATGGGACAAGGAAAGGGATGTCTAGTTACTTTAGAGTGGGGAGAGGATGGGAAAATAAGTCAGAAAGGATTTAATGAAAATCACTTCATATAAGACTCTTTGATGTAAACAGTGGGTCTTGAAGATGTTCTACAGGTAAAAAAAAATTAAGAAGTAGAGTCTAATTCTTACTGTGCATTCTTCTCTTGACTGCAGTGGAATTGGAAAGGGACTCCTCCTTCCTAAGAATTCCAGATCAGTTGTATCTTCCTCTGATATAAAAGATAAAGCAGAGACATCAGAGGGGGAACCCTTGCACTTCATATCAAGTGAGAAGCTTACAACAAGCTTGTTACTTACCACTTTAGAAAATGTTGCCTGCAAAATGCAGACAGGAAAAGGACTCTTCTTATATTAATAGGTCTCGGTCCTCCATTGTAATCCTGTCAAGTGAATTTGAAGAGGTTAAAGCTTAGTACAGTCAACATAAATTGGCAAGCATAGAGTCAGGAAAGGGTGCAAGAAGTAAAGTTTTATCTTACCATGCTTTCACATGAAACAGTTCAAATAGGAGAGGGACTGCTCCTCACTTCAGGATCCTGGTCAGCCTTAACTTTCTTCTGCTTAAAATAAAAAAACAGAAAAACAGAGACATCAAAGGGGGTCACTTGCACTTTATATTAAGTGAAAAGATTCAGTACACTAGCAACATGGGCAATATGCTTGCCTGAGCACATTGGCTACTAAAAACACAGCAGTTCAGTATTGCAAAGTTTAAAGTAAGGAGGAGGAGGGCAGTAAGGGGGAGGGGGGGGGGCTTGATTTTAAACCACCTGAGGATGCCCTCATATCAATTACATGTACAATGATTTAGCTGTTTTTGAACAGATTTTTAAAGGTTTTTCATAGATTAATTCCTTGGTAAAAATTTCATCCACATTGTGGCCCCTCCCTACACCCTCAGACCAGTATTTGAACAAATGTGAATTTACAATACCTAAGGATGCTTCCCTAATAATATTACTTAACATGGCTTTTCTTGAGAAGATTTTTTCTTTATATTCCTATGTACTATTTGATCCCCCATTGTGACCCAACCATATCAAGGGGGTCATTATTTGAACAAACTTAAATGTACACAACCTGATGCTGCTACCAAATAACATGACCATTCAGTCATGACATTGTTGTTCTTGAGAAGATTTTAAAAGTTTTTTTTCCAATTAATTCCAATGTAAAACTTGGATTGTCCATCGTGGCCCCATGCAACCTTCCCCTGGGGTCATGATTTGAACAAACTGAAATCTTCAGTACCCAAAGATGATTCCATATCAATTTGACTTATTGTAACTGTTAATTGTTCTTGAGAAAAAAAAATTAAAAATTTTCTTTGATGTTCCTTTGTATATTTTTGATCACCCATTCTGGCCCCACCCTATTATGGGGGTCTTGATTTGAATGAATTTGAATCTACACTACCTGCAAATGATTCCACAAGTGTCAGGTTTCTTGTCCTAGTGGTTCTGTATTTGTCATGTCAGTCTTTGACTGCGATCTTTCCTTTGACCTAGACCTCTCTTTTCTTAAATAAGTGTTTAGTACAGTTTTCAATAAATCATTCAAGATATTTTTATTAAACCTAATATGCTGATACAAATTAGTGAGCTTTTCAATTCCCTCAAAAACTTTACACCTGGCACTTACTGTGACCTTGACCTCCCTTCTCTTAATTTGTACATGTATTTTGCCTTAGTTTTAAAGAAACAATTTAAGACATTTTTATGTATGCAACACTTATACAAAATTTAGTGAGAATTTATCACATATATCCAATTTCTTAGATTTCAGTTTCAATTTTGAAGAAAATGTTTAAGATATTCACATCAAACTTCACAAACTAATACAATTTTTCATGTTGCATTAATTAAACATGTATACAATATGGGGGGCATTCATGTCTTTAAAATACTGTATACAGGGAAATTTTCGCCCCCGTTTTATTTTCGCCCCTTTCGCCCTTCCCTCATTTGGGCGACAGGGCGAAATGAAATAATACAGTATAACTTCTTTAATAAAACTATGATTGGGCGAATTTAAAACGGGGCAAAATTGTTTGCAAGAGTGAAAGGGCGAAAATTAAATGGGGCGAAAATAACCCTGTATACAGTATACCGCTTGATGTCACTAATTTTTCATTTATTTGTACAATGTAATAACCTTTCCTTTAAAGAGGGTGTGAGCCTTCAATTGAATAATCTTGAATCCCATTTACCCAAGGATACTATGTGCTGAGTTTGTTTAATTTGGCCCAGCAGTTTTAAAGAAGAATATGAAAATGTGAAATTTTAAAACAATGATGATAAAGACAGACAATGGACAAATGTTCACTTCTTTTTAAAATATCGAGCACTTACCGAGGTATATCAAGTTTCTTGCTTAATGTGCATTGTGATAAGTTTTCTCTCCTAGATGAGATGCGTAATTACCAACATTTTTGAGACTCATCTTCCTGTGCGCCCTTGCGAACTTAGCCTGGGACCAAATGGTACCCAGTATCCGTCTGCTTCCACGTGGAGGCATCGCATAGGACTTGTTGTGGAGAGGCTATGTACTGGCAGGGGAAGACATAAAAATTCCTTCCCTTTTCACATTGCTGCTAGCCAGCGGTGATGGCTGAAAGCGAGAGGTGACAAGCACACAGACACTAACACCAACACACTAGACGCGTCACACAACATTTAGCAGACGTTAGTAGTTTTAGTAGCTTGTTACTTGTTCAGGGTTCTCCATCATTTGAAATTTTACTGTGTTGCAGAGTTTACGCAAAGCACTAAAATTTCTTGGTATTTTCGCAATCAAATTAGCAACTGAATCTCTATTCATTAAAATTACTCCAGAATACATGCACACACTTTTCAACAAAAAAAAAATCGCCAATTCATTACAAAAATAGTATGTTCGAACATATTAGCACATGTGAAATGCAGACGAAATTCTGGTTGATAAAGTTGAACAAATTTGTGGTAATTTTTTTGGTCAGTTTTCTTGATCGAATTAGCAAATTACAAAAAAAGAAACTTCAGAATAGTAAAATACTTTTAAAAGTTCCTTGAAAATTTAAATTATTATTAAATTCAAGTAAATGATTTCGGTATGGTGTTATATGTTTGATTTACAGTGCCAACATAATTCTAGAGCCATGGCTCTATATATAGAAAATGTACTTTAATTGCAACTACTGGTACCAATAAACTGTTACATGAAAGTATGAAAACCAATTATTTGTATTTGTTCCTTCATATATGAAGTCTGGCGAGGGTCTAGGAAATAATTGATTATGCAAGGTGAAACCGTAATTAAGTGCTCTAGATACCTTTTAGAATTGAAAGACAGTAGAATTGTTTGATTATTTATGTTTTAGATAGAGAGAATTTGTATTTTTCGATTTTCTTATTATCACATATATTACTGTCTCAGCAAAATTTTCACTGTGTCGCTCAGATAAAATTTGAATCTTTACTGTGTCGGAGAACATTTTACTGTGTCGGGACCAACATAGTAAAACTGCTCATGGAGAACCCTGCTTGTTAGGGTGTTAATCATGCAAACCTATCCACCATAAGCACTAATCATGCACTAACTAACAAATACCTTAATCACAATAATAACCTACACTCCTAAAAGAACTCTAAACTGTCTAATAACTAAAGCCAACTAACTAACTCAAACTACAACACAACTGCACCTAATGGAAACACTAACAAACCAAACTAAACACTAAGAAACAACTAAGTAACACTACTTACAACTACAGTGTACTATACACTCCTTACATTCTGAATGTAGCAGAAAACACTCCAGACTGACCTTCAGAGGTGGCCATCTCTGCTTGCTATAAATTCAAAGTCAAGAGGTCAAACCCAACATCAATTGGAAAACCAAAATATTGGGAAAAGGTACGAAGAGGTCAATTATGAATCTTACCCCCACTTTCTGCTCATGAACGCTGTTAAAAGGGAGAGGGACTGCTCCTCGCTTCAGGATCCTGGTCAGCCTCAAATTTCTTCTACTAAAAAAGAGAAAACAAACACATCAAAGGAGAATCACTCACCTTCCCTATTAAGTGACAAACTTCATTTAAATAATCAATGTTACTTACAACTTTGGGCCATGTTGGCTGCTGTATTGAGATGGGAAATGGACTCATCTCGTCTTCCTCCGTTGGTCGACCTTGCTCCTCCATCGTTGTTCCTCTTCCGAGTCCCTGAAAGTAAAAAACTGGCACAATGTTTGTAAAACTTCAAAAGAATGCAACAAATTACGAAAAGTCACTTACCACTTTGGGCCATGTTGGCAACTGTATCAAGATGGGAAATGAACTTGTCATCTCGTCTTCCTCCGTTGGTCGACCTTGCTCCTCAATCGTTGTTCCTCTTCCAAGTCCCTGAAAGTATAAAACTGGCACAATGTTAGTAAAACTTCAAAACAATGCAACAAATTACGAAAAGTCACTCACCACTTTGGGCCATGTTGGCTGCTGTATGGAGATGGGAAATGGACTCGTCATCTCGTCTTCCTCTGTTGGTCGACCCTGCTCCTCCATCGTTGTTCCTCTTCCGAGTCCCTGAAAGTATAAAACTGGTACAATGTTAGTAACACAATGAAACCAATTATGAAAAGTCACTTACCTCTTTGGGCCATGTTGGCAACTGTATTGAGATGGGAAATGGACTCGTCATCTCGTCTTCCTCTGTTGGTCGACCTTGCTCCTCCATCGTTGTTCCTCTTCTGAGTCCCTGAAATTATAAAACTGGCACAATGTTAGTAAAACTTCAAAACAATGCAACAAATTATGAAAAGTCACTTACCACTTTGGGCCATGTTGGCAACTGTATTGAGATGGGAAATGGACTCGTCATCTCGTCTTCCTCTGTTGGTCGATCTTGCTCCTCCATCGTTGTTGGCTTCCGAGTCCCTGTAAGTACAAAACTGGCACAATGTTAGTAAAACTTCAAAAGAATGCAACAAATCACGAAAAGTTACTTACCACTTTGGGCCATGTTGGCTGCTGTATTGAGATGGGAAATGGACTCGTCATCTCGTTCTCCTGTTGGTCGACCTTGCTCCTCCATCGTTGTTCCTCTTCCGAGTCCCTGAAAGTATAAAACTGGCACAATGTTAGTAAAACTTCAAAACAATGCAACAAATTACGAAAAGTCACTTACCAATTTGGGCCATGTTGGCAACTGTATCGAGATGGGAAATGGACTCGTTATCTCGTCTTCCTCTGTTGGTCGACCTTGCTCCTCCATCGTTGTTCCTCTTCCGAGTCCCTGAAAGAATCAAACTGGCACAATGTTAGTAAAAATTCAAAACAATGCAACAAATTATGAAAAGTCACTTACCACTTTGGGCCATGTTGGCTGCTGTTTAGAGATTGGAAATGGACTCGTCATCTCGTCTTCCTCCGATGGTCGACCTTGCTCCTCCATCATTGTTCCTCTTCCAAGTCCCTGAAAGTATAAAACTGGCACAATGTTAGTAAAACTTCAAAACAATGCAACAAATCACGAAAAGTTACTTACCACTTTGGGCCATGTTGGCTGCTGTATAGAGATGGGAAATGGACTCGTCATCTCGTCTTCCTCTGTAGGTCGACCTTGCTCCTCCATCGTTGTTCCTCTTCCGAGTCCCTGAAAGTATAAAACTGGCACAATGTTAGTAAAACTTCAAAACAATGCAACAAATCACGAAAAGTTACTTACCACTTTGGGCCATGTTGGCTGCTGTATAGAGATGGGAAATGGACTCGTCATCTCCTCTTCCTCTGTTGGTCGACCTTGCTCCTCCATCGTTGTTCCACTTCCGAGTCCCTGAAAGTATAAAACTGGCACAATGTTAGTAAAACTTCAAAACAATGCAACAAATCACGAAAAGTTACTTACCACTTTGGGCCATGTTGGCTGCTGTATAGAGATGGGAAATGGACTCGTCATCTCCTCTTCCTCTGTTGGTCGACCTTGCTCCTCCATCGTTGTTCCTCTTCCGAGTCCCTGAAAGTATCAAACTGGCACAATGTTAGTAAAACTTCAAAAACAATGCAACAAATCATGAAAAGGTACTTACCATTTTGGGCCATGTTGGCTGCTGTATAGAGATGGGAAATGGACTCGTCTTCCTCTGTTGGTCGACCTTGCTCCTCCAACGTTGTTCCTCTTCAGAGTCCCTGAAAGTATAAAACTGGCACAATGTTAGTAAGACTTTAAAACAATGCAACAAATCACGAAAAGTTACTTACCACTTTGGGCCATGTTGGCTGCTGTATTGAGATGGGAAATGGACTCGTCATCTTGCCTTCTTCTGTTGGTCGACCTTGCTCTTCCATCGTTGTTTCTCTTCCGAGTCCCTGAAAGTATAAAACTGGCACAATGTTAGTAAAACTTCAAAAACAATGCAACAAATCATGAAAAGTTACTTACCACTTTGGGCCATGGTGGCTGCTTTTTAGAGATGGGAAATGGACTCGTCACCTCGTCTTCCTCCATTGGTCGACCTTGCTCCTCCATTGTTGTTTCTCTTCCG